TTCGGCTCTGCAACTTTGGGGTGCTTTGGCGCCTTCCCAGTCGGGGTTGGTGAAGAGATCCGAGGGTGCTTCAAAGACTGACCAGCCGGAGCAGTTGCCTTGTCGCGAGCACTCGGTCGTTCTTGGTCAAGCTTGGATCGCCTTTCCCTGCGAGGAGGCGACTCGACTTCTTCTCCAGCGCTTGAGTTGTCTCTCCCTCTGTCCCCTTCACCATCGGAAGCCCCCTCGCCGCTTTCGCCGCCACTCGCCTCGCCTTCCAGAGCTTGCTCTTGCTCCCCGTTGGGCATGGAATACATTTCAATAATGGCCTGAAAGAAAGCAGGGAGAACAAAGTCAGTCGACGCAATACAGACGGCTACGCGAGTGAACTCAGATTACAAGCAAAAACTCAGAATCAGACCTGCTCGGGTGCGTGGGACTGGTCGAATGGAGGGACTCTCCTGGCTCCCCTGGGATTGTCCTTATTCCCGGTAATGCCAGACAGCCACTTCTCCAGCGTGTCGTCGTCGACCTCCTCCGGGTGGACCCGAGTGGAGTCTTCAAGACCCGAATACATCCACATCGGATGGTCTCGAGCTTGGAGAGGCTGGATGCGCCGCTGAAGGAAGACCTCCAAGAGATCCATACCAGTGACCCCGTCGCGAATAAGCTGGACCACTCGGTCGACCAGCACCTGCACGTGCTCCTTCTCCTCCGGGAGCACCTTCAAAGGGGAGGGTTTTTCCACTCGGTCCATGGTAAAAGGAGGGAGGCCAGTCGATTGCCCTGGCGTCGACTAGTCTTTGCAGTAGAACCAAGTCGACTGCCATCCGCGAACTGAATCAAGGAGAATCATGGCCGGAAAGGAGCTTTTTCCCCTCGTCTGGATGCCAAGACCCCCACACATCTGGATCACTTGGGTCCTCTCGTCACTCGGATTAGCCCTTTTCACTGTCTAGGAGCGACAAGTGAAAATATGCTTGAAAAGACCCCAGTGAGGTCGACAACCCAAGAAGTTCTCACACAAGGAAATGAACGCAGCAAGATAAACGATTGAGTTGGGGGTAAAATGGTGGAGTTGAGCCCCAAAGAAGTTCAGAAACCCTCGGAAGAAAGGATGAGGAGGCAAGGAAAACCCACGGTCGACGTGGGTGGCAAGAAGAACGCGCTCACCCTCCCGAGGCTGCGGCTCGGATTCCTTCCCCGGAAGCCACGCCGCGTCGTAGGGGATCAGCCCCCCTTCGGCCAAGTCGTCGAGGTCGTCTTGGAAGATCCTTGAGTGGATCCAGTCGCCCTGGATCCAGCCCTTCGGCAGGCCAGACCGCGAGGAAGATCCGCCCCGGCTGGTCGCCTTCCCCTTCGACTTCGTCGTCGCCTTCTTGGCCCGCTCCAGAGCTGCTGTCTTCTTCCTCCCCATTGTCGCCGGCGAGGCGCGTGCGGTGCGGTGGTGTTAGGGCAAGAGCGAGCGCGGCGGAGGGACGTGAGGGAGAGAAGAGGTAATGGGATGCACTACTCGGGGAACTCCGGTCCAGGTGCTTTATATCAGGCCGCTCCCGAGTGGCTGACGGGTAGGCCCAGGTGGCCCTGTCAAATCCCGCAACGACCGCACGAGCGATACGTGGCGAAAAAGGTGGCGCGGGGATCGAGGCGGCTCCGCTCTATCTCGTCCGATTACTGCGGCCTCCCCCGTCCCGCGCGCTTCCCAAAATTCGGATCCCACTAAATCCGCGGGCAGCGAATAACTTGTCAGACCAAGGATCTCCTCCACACCATCACTCGAAGCCTTACAAATAAAGAAACCCACTCGACGAGGAATTAAGAAAGGATCAAGGCGACTGGAAAGGAAGTTGCTGCCATCACTCAGGCCCGTTGATCTGAAACTAGATATGCTCACGACATGAAAAACGAGTCGGAGAAGCTCTCAAATCCTTCCCCACTCAAACCTCGATCCATTCGGGGGCTAATGATGAAGCTATGTACCTAGGGTAGGGTCATGGACCTGTCCTACCTACCCTACCCGAGGACATCTCTAGAAGAAATCACCTTTCAATCGACTTGAAGGTGTTCCACTCGACAGACTCGAAGACACTCGACCAAGAAGCAACCACTCGACGGCCAGGAGACCTAAAGTCACTCCGCACGCTAACGGTCGGTCATTAAGTAGCTTTTTATGGTCATCATAGCACTTTATTACTAGCGTTACCAGTAACGTCTCGCCTTAATGAACATTGAACACTTGGTATTGTGGGCTGGCCGGGGGCCTGGCGCACTCTATATAAGCCACCCCCCTCCGAGACAAAGATTCGCACCTCTGTAACTCATACACGCATAATCCAGTCGACCGCCTCCGGGCTCCGAGACGTAGGGCTATTACTTCCTCCGAGAAGGGCCTGAACTCGTAAACCTTGCGTGCTTACAACTTCTCCACAGCTAAGATCCTGCCTCTCCATACGTACCCCCCCTACATCACTGTCAGGCTTAGAACCACGACAGTGGTCACTTGTTGGTTTGATTGAGCTGGTGCAGAGTGCGGTCAAGGCTCCCCAACGACATTATTTTTGTTAGTTTTTATAAACCAAAGTAATCTGATGGGTTCAGAATGGGGGAGTGAACTCGTTCAAACCCAGGGTCCAATGGATCATGTCATCACCATCAACTTCATGTCTTCTTTGGTTCATATGATAGAAATACCATTAAAAAGACAGTCCGGTGCACGTAGCTCCCGCTTGCATAGTGATCATAAAAAGGCAGTCCGGTGCATGTAGCTCCCGCTTGCATAGGGTCCGATCACTTTGGGTCTATAGTACACAGCTTTAACCTATATTTATGCAAAAGGCTATTTTCAAGACTCAAACCCGTGACCTCATGGTTGCAAGGCAACAACTTTACCGCTATGCCAAGACATGTATCATAGGAATGGAAAAATCATAAAAAATGAGATGACATGTATCTCAATTCTTATAGAAAAAAAATGTCATTTGATGCATAAAATATGAATTTTTGCATTGAGTTTAGGCTAATGTTATTTTTCCTTCAAAATATGAAAGATTGATTCATATCCTACATAGGAATAGAAATCCATTTCTACAAACCAAAGGCTTTGAAGGATTTTTTTTCTTTTCTCCTTCGAAAATCATATCCTATAAAATTTCTATAAAATTTCTACAAACCTACAAAGCAAAGGAGGCCTAAAGGAATTTTTCCTATAGAAATCCTATCCTATAGAATTCCTGCAAAATTCCTCCAAACCAAAGGGGGGCCTTAGTTTCCAGCAGCTCCCTTTTCTAACATTAATTATTGTGTGGTAAAAAGGAAAACCTCCACACTTGACAAAAGAAGAAGATCCATGTTCAATGCACATGAGGTTATAGCTTGAGAACTTTACATCGGACAGATTCCATACTTGATACACACATAAAACAGCATAATTCCAAAATTACCATGGCTATAAACAGTAGAGCAAGCTTCCTCATCCCTCCACCTTTACTTCTGCAGAAGTGCAGATATGACTACTCTCTAAATGCTATGATGGCTTACCAAGAGCATGAATTATTTCACTTTTATAGCAGCTTATCACAGAACAAAACATTTTTGGTGAAAAATTGTCCACGATGACATGTTGTAGCTCACCAATCAGAAGTTCGAATCCCCCTAATCTTTCCTTAAAGCAGCAATGCATCAACAAAGTTCGAATCCCCCTAATCTTTCCTTAAAGCAGCAATGCATCAACAAACTATCTTTCCTTGAATGTGAAGTAAGGACATCTTTCAATGTGCCAATGGGTCACTAAGCTTTCAGCAAGGTAATATTCTTTGAAAGGTAAAACTGTACCCAAACCAGAATCTTCATACAACAGGACATTGCCAATGTAATAACCAGAAATACAAAATTAAATAAATAATATACTTTATGTCATCGATCACAAAAAGATTAACTTCTAAACGCAGACTGAAAATTTCCACGGACCAAAAAAATATTAAATGAGTAAACTATTATTGATATTGTGCATTGAGGACAATGAGCACTACGACAGATAGAACCAGAGGCCAGCTTCTGTGATTCAAAATAACCAAGAGTCATATCTCCTGTATTTATATGTACGGGAAATGGCAACAATCAGCTTGGCATTTCCTATGAAATAAATAATCTAATAGAGAAAGAGTTAGGATCCATAGCACATTAGGTGGAGAGAATGTCAACCCTGTTACACAGTATTACTGACCAACAGATACAAGTTAGGAAGCATGACCATTTTACAAATCCTACATCCTCTGTGCTAAACAGATCATGCAAGAACCAGCAACAAAATCATACTACCTGAGTACCTATGATTTTTTCCTCACTTCTAATGACAATATTAAAACTGTGTATTAGCCTCGCTGCTGTTTTCTTCTTCCAGATCCATCACTTTTTGCTATCATCTGCCATCTTCGTACACAAATTCCAAGCAAAACAGCACACATTATGTCATCTGCTTATTCATTCAGTTTGATTTTGCGAAAACTTCAGGTGAAAAATTAGCCGCCTATATAATTTGTATCACAATAACCTTTCTCCAAGAAGACCACCAAGTTCACAAGTCTTCCAACATTAATAATCATTTTAGCAACCTATCGAGTATTATCCCCCGATGATCATTGATTACTCAAAATATAGAAAGAGTGACTGCCTCTCTTACCTATTTGTTGGTAACTTGAGATGAGCCTTCCATAAGTTGCCAGATTTCATCAAACTATTATCTTGTTTGCTTCCTGATGAGACCAGCTCTCATGATGGGGTCATTGTAATTGACCTCATCTTAAGCTAGGAGCCTAGGACTCGATTTACTTAATCTTGCAGATTCCAATCGGTTCCATGTTTGATCAGCACAGATGACATTTTGATTTTGCTGGCAGAATGCAGTGCACTGCAATTCAAACATACGGTTTCACAATACGAACCACATTGTTACCACCACAAATATCCCCAGAATCATGAGCAGCCCCATTCAAAATCGGTACCAGTTGGTGTTCTGAACAGAGCTAATGAAGTGATTCAACAACCAACTTCATGTCCTTCACATTCTCCTCAGTGCTCTCATACTTCGCCGGCTTAAACAGCTTCCACAACCCCACCGGATGCTGGCGCCTCACCTCATCCTTTCTCTCCCTGACTAGGCCCCCGAAAATCCTCTCGCACTCCAGGTATGGCTTCACGAACAGATTGTAGAACTTGAGGCGGCTGAATCTCACATAATGCCTCATCTCAATGGGGTCCCCAAGCCCACCCACCGACGCCAAATACTCCACCACATTGTGCCGCGGGACGATCGACCTGTCGAGATTTATCCCCAAGAACTCCGGGTACTCCACCAGCCAACCGATCTCAAACCCCATCCTGCCCACCAAGAACTCCACCTTCCTCTCCACATCCTCCAGGCTATATAAAATTGCCCTGGGCTCAACGGAGATCACCCTCAGCGCGTCCCGCCGGCTCAGCCCGCGCTCGTGCAGGAGCTCTACCCGCCGCCTCGTGGCGATTGCGGCGCTGAGCACGCCGTGAGAGAGGACCTGGTCCTTGATGGGCGCCCGGCAGCGGAGCTCGTCCAGGAGCTCGATGAGGCGGGACGGCTCGCCCGGCTCCATGGAGAGGAGCCCGTCGGGGTCGGACCCGAGGGCGTTCTTGATCTCGTCCGCCGGGAGGCGCAGGCCACGAAGTTCTTGGAGAAGGTGGCCCAGGCGGTGGGTGTTAGGGACGCGGTGGAGCAGGGACGTGGCCTCGGCGGTGCTGAGGCCGGCCGCGCGGTGGAGCAGTCGGTGCAGGTCCGTGGTGCTGGAGGCTAGTGGGCGTTGTTGCGTTTGCGGGGGTTGGGTGGTTGCTGCGGGGTCACCGAGGATGCGTTGGATGCGGAGGAGCTCGCGGAGGTCGTGGGATGAGGCGGAGGTGGAGAGGGGATTGGAGTGGTGGAGAGAGCGGGGGAGGCGGTGGTGAAGGGCCCGTAGAGCGAAAGCCATGGCGATGGCGGCGGCAGGCGGCGGCGACGGAGATGACCACGGTACTGATTTCCGAGTGGAGATTGAGAATCTGACCTCGTTTTGGTTGAGTGGCCTGTATGGCTGGGAGGCGGAGGTGGACTGACGAACCAGGGAGGAGGGGCTCCGGGTCGCACGAGCAGGAAGGAGGAGCAGACCTGACCGAATGGGTCGACACGGCTCGCCCCCCGTTAAACATGCCTGGCGCGGCACGACCCACGGCGGCCCGTTTATAAATGGGCCGTGCCGTGCTGGCACACTTGCCACACTTACAGGCCCAGAGCTGGCCCTCGACTCCCTACAAACATCAAAATCAGTACTCGTTGCAAAGAACACTTCACTTTATCAGGTCGCAACAAGTGGCGCACATGCAGTGCGCCACTTGTCGTAACCTGAGAGTTTTTCTTTTTTTGTAGATTCATTTATTTAAAATGTTTTATTTTTTAAACCGTGTGTCCAAATCTCGAACCGTTTTCGCCATTGGATTTTCCTCGTGTCGAGATCTTCAAAACTAGATACCATGTTGATAGGTTTTGACAAAAAAATTTCCCAAAAAAAACCGGGCGAAAAACCGAAACCGGGAGCACAGTTTTTTCCCTATCCGAAAGAGGCACGTCCGTGCCTCTCGCGAAATCACGCCTGTGCCTCTCGCGAAATCACGCCCGTGCCTCTCGTGGAAGCAAAATCGTGACTCTCATGGAAGAAAAAAAAGCAGAAAACACGTTTTTTTTCGTTTTCGAGAGGCACGACCGTGACTCTCGCAAAGTACAACCGTGCCTCTCGCAGAAGCAAAGCCATGACTCTCGCGGAAGAAAAAAAACAGAAAACGCGTATTTTTTTTCTTTTTCTGAGAGGCTCGGCCGTGACTCTCGTGAAAGCACAACCGTTCCTCTCGCGGAAGCAAAACCGTGACTCTCGTGACAGAAAAAAAACAGAAAACGCGTTTTGTTTTTCCCTTTTCAAGAGGCACGGCCGTGACTCTCACGAAAGCACAATCGTGCCTCTCCGTTTCCGAAAGGCACGGTCGTAACTCTCGCTAAAGTACAACCGTGCCTCTCGCGAAAAAAATCCGTGACTTTTGCGGAAAAAAATGCGTTTTTTCGCGTAAATTTTTTTTTAATCGAAAAGCTAAGGAAGACCGGGAGAAACCAAAACATCGAAAAAACCGGAAAAAACGTTTAAAAAGTCGAAAACGCGTGCGGAAAAATAAAAAAACAAAATTCGAAGAGAGCATCCAGAGCACGACACATAACGAATGGCTGAAAGCGCGCTAAGTGACGCTGATCATTTTGAGGCTCCCGAAGGAACGCTCATTAACTGGTTGCTCCCAAAAAACATACAGCTAACCTCACTGACTATTTCTCTCGGCACGACGAGCGCCAAATCTCTCTTAGGCCTTGTTTGGATACCGTGTTTTAATAGAACTAGTTTTCCGTCAACTGAGGCAACCGCCTAACAAACTAAAATCATATTTGATTATCGCAGATAAAACATGGATAAGTAGGATTCAGTTTCCACAAAATCAGGAATATGCGTTTTGCGAAAAACCACTATTAGTTGTTTTTGTGAAAACACGATTACAGAAACTCAACGTAGCTGATTTATCCTTCTGCAACAAATTCATTAGCGCACGTTTTCTTCCAATTGTTGACTTCGAGAAGTGCTGTACCGTTGTCTTGTGTGTTGAGTGGAAGAGGCCACCGCCGTTCGCATGCGCCAAGTCGTTGACGGAAAGAAGCTGCCGTCGTGCGCGCACGCCAAGGCACCGAGTCCAAGTGGCAGTAGCCGGCCGCGCGCGCGCCGTGTTGCTGAGGGGAAGTGGCTGCCGCAGTACACGAACGCGCGAGTCGTCGAGGGAATCGGCCGCTGCCGCCGTCCGTGCTTGCCGACGTCGAGGTAAAGCAGCCGCTGCGCACGGCGAGTCGTCGAGTGGAAGTCCTTGCCGCCGTCCGCACCCTTCAGTGGCGTCTACCTGGTGAAGCGCCAACGGAGGGGAGCCGAGCAATAGATGGCGGCAAAAGGCGCTGATTCATTTACGACCAACAGGAATGGAGCAGCGGTGTCAACGAGCTAATGGCGGAGGAGAATCAGAAGGGCCTGAGGATGAACTGAAGGGGAGCAGCGGCACATGCGTGCTTCGATGAAGAAGCCATGGCGGCTAATTTGGGGAAAGTAGTGACGAGCGAAGTTTACGAACGGGAGAAGACACTCACAAATTATGGGCTATCCAAGCAAATAACTGAAGCGGCCAGTTTTTTACTTTTCTAATCCAAACATAGTTTTGTATAAACTGGTTATTCACAAAAACGTAGATAAAACCGATTTTCCTTAAAACCAGCTTAAAACGCATTTTCCATAATCCCATCGCTAATCTCCTCTATCCAAACAACCACTAGCAATCTAGGCTACACAAATGCTCCAGAGCTGCCACAGGACTCGTGAGGTCCAACACCGCCAACCTCGTCTCCTCCAAATCAAGAGCTCTCCAGACATGCTCTACGAATTTGCATTTCAGAAATAGATGCCCACCATCTTCGTCCAGCCGGTTACACACAGGACATCGAGTATCAAGCTCGACTCGTTTACGCTTGATGTTCATGCGTAGGGGGAGGCTATTATGTGCAAATCTCCACAAGAAAATACGAATCTCCCCAGGCAAAGGAAGGTTCCACAGCCGATTCCATTCCCCCCCTACACTGCACATTGTCTACGGATGTACTCGCATCTCGACCCAGGTTTTCATCCCGAATGGCAACACCCCTGTGATACACAACTTTGACTGAGAATTTTCCTTTTGGATCAAAATGCCAAGCAACTTGGTCCTCCATCCCTGCTCTCACTGGGATTGGCAGAATATCCTTTACATCCGCTTCACAAAAGATGTCTCTCAGCAACTCCTCGTCCCAAGTTTCAGTAACCGGATCAATCGGGTCTGAGACCCGGGTAACCAAAGCGTTGCCCCTATGTGAAACAAGCCGTCTAGTAGTGCCTCTTGGAATCCATGGGTCTTCCCAGATTCTAATATTCTCGCCCGTTCCAACACGCCAAATAATTCCCTCTTTCAGCAGTGATATACCCTTCAGAATACTCCTCCAGGTGTAGGAAATTCCATCTCTTTCAGCAACCTCAAGGATTGAACAATCAGGATAGTAGCGTGCCTTTAGGACTTGAGCACACAGGGTATCTGGTGCTTCCAGTAGCCTCCAACCCTGCCGGGAAAGCATGGCCATGTTAAAAATATGGAGATCCCGGAAACCAAGTCCTCCATCCTTCTTTGATCTTGTCATCTTCACCCAACTAACCCAATGACATCTATTCATTTTGTCCTGTTGACTCCAGTGGGGGTGTGTCGCTCGCTCGGATCAGGGCGAGTTCCTGGCTGCCATTGCAGGGAAGCTGGAGCACTTGTCGGGTCCGTTGCATGCAGAAGCGGTGTCCTGTGTGAAGGCTGGCGAGGCCAGTGCTGAGTTGGGTTTTCATAGAGTGAAGTTTGAATCAGATGCTCAAGTGCTGCTGAAAGCGCTCAAGTCCGATGACTACGAGCGGTCCGTGATTGGAGTTCTCCTGCGGGAAACGTGTAGTTTACGTTTTGGTAACTTTGAGTCCTTTGATTTTGGTTTTTTGTACTCGCGATTGTAATAAGGTTGCCCATGAACTAGCCGCGTATGGCTTCAGGGTGGGAGTTGTGACCACGTCTTGGATGGAGCAGGCTCCGGATTTTGTTTTAGGTGTGGTCGCCAGCGAGTCTTCTGTGCGGGTTCAGTAATGGAATCAACTATTTCCAGCTCAAAAAAAAAACTATTTCTCTCAACATGCAAGCATGCCCCATCACGAGAAAAGGTCCGTCCCACTATCATATGTCTCTCAACACGCAAGCATGTCCCTTCATCATGAAGCATACATGAAAAAAGATGATAGTGCACGAAAGTTTGTAACCCACGGCGTCCCGGAAGTTTGCATGCCACTTCACAACAAACTTTGCAATTTTACTTACGTGAGTTTGGACTCATCTCCCACTTTGATTCCGGCCAAATACGGAAGCATAGTGCTCGGCAAATTTGTTCACATTTTCTTGGATGGTGGATCATCTATGTTGGAGAGAAACATCATTGCGGGTGGTAATAATAGGATACGGCTTCACACATGTCTTCATGATAGAACTTGTGGATCTTCTCCTAGTACTTCTTGCCCTTTTGCTCTTCCCCACATATAGGGTCCATGCTTTAACCAACAAAACATCCTTAAATGTTGTGAAGTCCGAACCTCTTGCCTTGGGTGCCTTTGTCATTTTTTTGTTCTTGCCTTCGGTGCCTTGCGTACGTTATGTTACCCTAACATCAAAAGCAAGACGATTTGAATCCCTCAACTCATATTCCATACCGGCCATAGGCTCTTGACCCTCGTTGATCATCTCGATCATGTAATTCCCCTAAAACGATCATGATTTCAAATAAACCAACGGAATATGCAACTAATTCATTCAATGGCATATGCAACTAACGTATACAATGCATAACAAACATAATGAACAAAGGCATACAAAATTGAGCAAAATATTTACCCCTTCCAGCTGGGACATTTTCTCGAACAGGACACGAGCAGACCTGCTGCCGCCGGTGATACCCGTGCTTGTGCGCATCCGTGGAGTTGCAGCGAGTCGCACAACTCGTCGTCCGCCCCCTGCGGTCTTGTAAACCTGTCTGGAATCCTCCAATTGGTCGCTGGATCTATGTCGATCATGGGCAGGGCGAATGGCGACTTCATTGTTGGCGGCTGGATCGACGGGTGTGGGGCGACCAGACACAACGGAGGGGACACATCCTCTTCGAGGTCCACAACATCCTTGTCTGAAACTCCTTGTCATCGCTTCCCTCTTGTGCTGCTTCCATTGCCGCTCTCTCGGGGCGACATTCTCCGGCTTGCAACTCGGAACCACTGATGGGAGGCCCACGGACAACGCCGAGGCAACATCCGTGGTAACG